AAAGAATTGAGTGTGTGATTTATAGGAAAGAAATCAAAATTGGTGGCCAAACTGGTAGCTAGCTACACTTATAGCACTGATAAGAATTTTACAGCAAATGTTCATTTACTAGTTAGCTAGGCTGTGTATTTTGTTTTACCCACCATCATGCCCCAAGTTGAACCAAAAACATGGCCTGACCTAACTAATGAATGAATATTTGCTGTAAAATTCTTATCAGTGCTATAAGTGTAGCTAGCTACCAGTTTGGCCACCAATTTTGATTTCTTTCCTATAAATCACACACTCAATTCTTTTTTTGGCCACAGATTTTTTCACACTTAATGTGTTTTTGATTAGATATTATGACATTTTACCAATACACATCAACAAACTACAGCAAGTAAGAAAGTGACATTTAATAGTAACTCACATTAGCTTTAGAACAGATATTTACTTTACAGAACCAACCACATAATAATAGCTTCTTTTATAGTAACACCATGGAATTTAGATTAACAGTTTCTTGTCATCACCCTCATGTAATCGGAGCAGCCATATCAAGCATCATCATTTATGTTAATTGCTTAAGCTAATATAACGTGATGCTAAACACTCTTTAATTAGGAGAATTTAATAAAATTTAGTAAATTTGTGCTGAAAAGTTGGCAAAAAATAATCAATAATAACTGTCTACCCATATGAGCTAGAAACTGCTAATCTAGTTTACTTGGCCTAACAAATACTTATGTATCTGCACATCCTTTCACCTTATAGTTTTGCTGCTCTAAATCAGTCATCTTTAATCCCAATGACAAAAAATGGTCCACTTTTACTCTTAGGTGAAGCTGTAGTAAAAATGTTAGACTGATACCTCAGGCATGCACAAAACATTTTCATCAAATTTGAGTGATTTTTGTTGAATAACTTTGCACATGACTTATATTTACACCAAATGAGACTTCTAATTGTAGGTTGAAAAGATCTATCAGTGTACCGAATTTGAAAACAATCCATAAAAGTTAAATATGTTTTTCTATCAAATAAAGTTCAAATTTGAGTGATTTTTGTTGAATAACTTTGCACATGACTTATATTTACACCAAATGAGACTTCTAATTGTAGGTTGAAAAGATCTATCAGTGTACTGAATTTGAGAACAATCCATAAAAGTTAAATATGTTTTTCTATCAAATAAAGTTACCATACTTTTGGTGTAAAGGAAAAAAAAAAACAGGAAGAAACTCAATCAAAATTGGAGATGTTATATCTTGGGTATGTTTTAATGGATTGCCTTGAAATTTGATATGTGAAGTAAGAGTCCAGTAGAGCACATCCACGGAAAATATGCAATAGTTTGGATTACCACAGTCCGAGATACAGAAGGTGGAAAACCACTAAACTATCGCTCCTGTTACTAACACACAGTGTGTCCTGCAGCAGGTTGTTTTGGCCACACGACACACTACCATGTGTCTTAATGTCTGAAACAAAGTAAAAACGATTATCATCATCATGCCAGTGACAAAACACATCCTGAATGTTTCTCACAAGATTTATAGTGGTTGCAGGTTACAGCTATAATGGTAAATGAAACTCTGTATGCTGACATCACGATACAGTGAGGAAATTTCATCTTTTGTGGATTAAATGCCAATAATCCAACAAGTTAATGCATCCAGTCAAATGGAACTCATAATGTTGCATTAAAACTTCCTGCAATGAAAATTGCACAGAACCCCATCACCAGTATTAGAAGGAGCTAAAAAGCCTGAAATCTTATCCTTGTATCATACCATAGATCATAAATACCTCCCTGTAGCTTAAAAACTGAAAGATGACACACAGTGATTTAATTTACTGGCAATAAAGATAATATTAAAAGCATGTGACATATTTTAGTAAAGGTACCAAAAGAGCAAAATTTCCAAGAACATTTAGTAAATTCTTCTGGAAAATATTTTCATGAAGACCAATTAACTGTAAAGAGTTAGTTAATTTATTATAGATTTGGCAAATGTTAAATGAACATAAAAATATTTTGTAACTTTAGCCAGTGTGAACTTTATAGGAATTTCAAGAAAAGGCTTTACTTTTGTAGACAGAAGCCTGGTCAAGAAAATTTCTGGAATAGATTTGTGACATTGATCTCTGTGAGTCAGATGGTGATCGTCCATGGGCTTGACTAAGTGCCAATATCGAACACCTTGTTCAACATCGTAGTTTGAAAAAATTGGTGACATAGAATTCAATGATGAGTTCCCAGTGCCTGTAAGCAAAAAAATAAAAAAATCAACATCTTACCTATAACAGCTGCAACAAGTCAAGATACTCTGTCATATTAAGATTAATGATTTGATATTTTATGTAAATTATCTTTAAATTGTTGTCTTTTCACTGCTGGATTTGCCTCTTTTTTTTTGTTGTTATCAAACAATTAAGTATCTTCTAATAGATTTCTTGATAAGGAAAATAAAACACTTCACTGATTTTAATTTTGGCTTTTGAAAAATAACATATGCAACTTGATGTGAAATGTTATGAATTCTTTGAAATTATAGAAACTGTGTAAGTTCACACATATTAAGCATAAATACACCCTTGCTAATGGCTGGAATTTCTTGGTTTAAAACAATACTTAAGTTCTGGTTACTCTAAAATATGAATTATTTGAAATTACTTAGATGAAGGTCGTGCATATATGGTGTGATTATAACAAGAAAACTTCAGACTAACCCTTACTGTTCGAACTGAGACTACTGTTCTGTTTACTGACTAGGCTCATCACAGCCGACTCAGTCACACCATAGTGTCGTAGTGTGTTAATCCTTCTCCAGCCACTGACTGTTTTAGTGGTCAAGTCTTCATCAGCTAGAGTCAGCTGACCACCATTTCCTGGTCTCCACTCTGGCAGATACAGAACTATGTAGTTCAAGTTGAAAAACATGTAATTAGACTTTTTGTACTAGTAAAAATAACACCAAATTCTTATCGTTTCATTGAGCTTTTGAATTTTCTCTTCCAAGTACTTAGAAAAACAGGAATAACATAAAAACATATTTCAAAGGTAATAATGTTGCTGAAGATCAAGTTGACAGGGACTTTTAACTAAATGTTGATATTTAACAACTGAGAGTATGAGTCATTTATAGTTTCACTATAAATTACAACTGGCAGATAATGTAGTTTTGTATTATCATTTTAAAAATACTTTTCTTTTGTATATTAACAGTGACAAAAGTTTGCATTTAATTTTGCTTATCATATTAACAATTAGTAGAACTACAGAAGCTGACTCTTAAAAGAAAAGTTCCACAAGTTTCTGCTAGTGACTACTAAGTAAATTTATTTTTGGATATTCTTACCTAAATCCACATCATGCACTATGGGACGAAGTGAGAAGGGAGTGTTTTTATACAAGGCATCTAAAACTTTAAACTTGACTTGGCTAATCGTATCACAGTCATTGACTCGTAGCTGCAATTTTTCATCTTGATTCTCCTGTACGATGTGAATAGTCTACAAAAAAATTCAGGTATATGTTAGTATTACAAGTGCACTTAAATAGATTACCAAGTAAAAAACATCCTCTTTCAGAACATTAAATATTTTGTTGCTTCTTAAAGCCTTACTTTGAAGTCACTAAAATATTACTTTAGGTCGGCATTTCCTAAAGTGTGCAGAGGCATGCAAGTTCTCTCTTTAGGGTTGAATCAATAGAGCAATAATGCAAAATTAAGCATTGTAACACATTTTTATCAATGGAAATAATATGTAATTACTACAACAGATATGGCATCTTAATGCGTATCCGTGTATTATATCTCGTCACTTAATCTATTCTTTCGCTCATTTAAAAAAAAGAGGGGGGGCCTGCAAGAAGCCATATTTATTAAAGGGGAAAAATAGTTGTTTGTTTGCTTTGTAATTAAGCACAAAGCTACACAATGAACTATCTGTGCTCTGCCCACCACGGGCATCGAAACCTGGATTCTAGCATTGTAAGTCCGCAGACATACTGCTGTGCCATTGGGGGCAGGGGGCAAATGGATGACAAAAGTGTGGAAAATGCTGCTTAATAAACTAATTAAAAGGAAATATCAAATTATTCTATTTCACATTTTGAATAGCTGTAATTATACATTTTGCTAGCTTTATAAATCTAATTTGTTTTGTAGAGTTGAGATAACAGTATAACTCACAACTGTGGAGTACTCTGTTTGTTCCCGTAGCAACCTTTCTTCAGAAAGCGAATACTTGGCATCATGGGTAATAGCATCCACAGGCCCCTTCTCTATCTGGTACTTGACAGCACAAAACAACAAGAACAAAGCACTCCCTGCATGGTCCTGCACAAAAAACAATTTATAGCATGTGAGATGAAGAGACATATTTCTGTAATTAACTGAATCCATTCCTGCACGGTTCCACACAAAAAAACATCATCATTGTCCAGATACGAGTTAAACATTTTAGTTATGAAGGATGACTCAGCCTCATCAAAGCAATACCAACACCTTTATTGAAAGTTTTTATTCTGTGTTTAATATGAGTGATGTTATGTAGTTTAAATATATATATATATATATATATATATATATATATATATATAATAATATATAAGAGAGAAGTAACAAACTAATACTAGTGGTGGAGGACGACG